ATATTTTAAATAGTTTTTTATATACTTAAAAAATACTTAATAAAATATATTTTGAATATATTTTAAATATATTTTAAGCATATTTTAATTATTATAATTTTTATAGGGTTTGTGGCCAATAATATAAGTTACGAACTTTATTAAAAACTATTTCAGCTTCTAAATGTCCTCCTAGGGGATGATTATGTAACATTAAGCTTCAGGATTCACCAAGTTATCAATATATAAAAATAACGTTCAAAAATTTTCTTGAAAAAATTCTTCATTATGCTGAAAAAAACTTCATTCTAATAAAAAATTCGTTATATCGAGGTACTTTTAATATGCATGTTCACCATGTTAACTTCGTACTACATTATACTATAATTAATTTAGCAAATCCGTTATAAAAAAATGGGCCAAATAAATATTGTTATATTAAGAAATTCGGTATATCGAAATTCGTTGTATCGAGGGTTGACTGTAATAGCGTATGAACGATCGATAATTATTTTCGGATTTTTTTTATTTCAATCTTTATTTTTATTAAATTTTGGCCGTTTTTATTCACGTCTAAGTTAAATCCAAATTTTTGCTAGATACTATGAAGTTGTAGATATCACTTTTGGCTACAATTCCATATAAGATAGTTGCATTATCTTTAATATCCATCAAAAGCGGTATGGGTATCAATCAAAGATTAAAATTTTTATTTTTTGTCACTTTTATTAATGTAGTTACTTCACTTGTAGACATTCAATTTTGACATGGGAATCTAATAAAAAATAGGTTGTGCAATTTGGATTATTCGTTGTGTCATAATTGACTTTTGAATAATGCTAATAAATTTTTAAAAAGAGCCTCTGGTCCAACATCAGGTTTTTAACTGAATCGGATTTGCTACAGATGAATCGTTTTCTTTAAAATCAATTAAAATTTAGACTAACTATATAATAAAAAATAATTATTCGCTTGATACGTCAAATCATAATGAATTTACTTTAATTTGTACGAAGGACTACTTGTTGTAAGCCACGTAAGTCAATAACAAAATTTTCGCCAATAACAGTATTGGGTATCACTGCAGTATAGCCTTCAACATTTGGAACTCCACCCAAAATTGGTGGATCCCAAAAGACGTCTTAGTTACTTGAAATTCATTAATATCACCATCCTCAATTTCATCATCCTCATTACGTATCATCAATATCATAAAGATTCGGGGCATTACAACCGGTTTCTTTATGTGTAATATGATGTATTGTTCCGCATTCCCACTATCATTTGCAAAAATTATTTTAATCCGGATATTTGATTATAAAATACAACAGTAATTCAATATTACCTCTTTGACATACACTCCATTTCCTGCTAAAGTTGTATTTGAAGATAATACACCAACTGGTAGTGCTCGACGTGCCCATAATCTGGCCTGATATAAAAAAATGAATAGGTTTTAAACATACAGGACATGTTATTATTGGCTGATGAACAGTTCTTTCGATATTTATTTTAGGAAAAATTTTAACTCCCAATACACAGCGGATGTATTCCTCACACATTCACGTTTCGCATCTTGTGTTCCATCGGCATCATTCTCTCCGCATGGACTATTGGAAAATTTTTTGAATTTTATTAATTTTATTACAAGCCCAGAAAAGTAGAATTAAATGAAAATCTCTTACAAGGTTGACCAGAAGCTACTATCGGTCCAAATTTTACTCCATTATTTGGTTCTTTAAAAAAATCTACAAGATATGACTCAACACGTTGATGTAATGCTTCCGCCATTTCAATAATATAGACGTTGTTTTTATCAAAGTGAAATTTATATCCTGACGATTCGTTATGATCAAGAAACTTGTTTTACTTTTTAACCGAAATTTTCTTCCCGATCTGGTAGAGTAAACTGAATACAATACAAGTCAGCAATGAATAGCTCTTAAAGGAACATTAGTAAAACACACTTACTTTTCACTTGTTAATGAAAATCCGGCATTTTAAGGTGTTTATGGGGGCAGCTTATCTCGAATTTTGTTCGCTTTATTACTTATCCAGTGAGCCATACTTTACAAAATAAAATATTAATATTCACGTAATTAATGATTCTCTACGTAATTTTATATTGACGATTTAGATAATCCCACATGATCACCTGTGATATTCTCGAATAATTTTTTTTCGAGCCATCAGAGAAATGATTGTTATATATGTATCTTAAATATTTGATTTCACAATAGAATTACTTCAAACTTTTAAAATTGTTGGTATAACAGAAGTCAAACGTGAAGATTTTGATAAGGGTGTTACTCAAAATGCTGTTCAAATTGAATTGGCTTATCAAACGCAAACATAAGGTTAATAAGATGAAATGAGAGAATGTATTTAAAGACGAGATGATCAAAATTATTATGGATGTAATCACATGGTATTTTTGGATTGGAATGTTCTTATAAATTTCAAATTTATTATAAAGTAATATATGTATATATAAACAATGGTCAAAAATAATACCTCATTAAATAAAAAATAATAGTTAATAAAAATCCACACGTTTGATAAAAAATCTACATACAAAAAAAAAATATATTCCTATGCTACACAAGTCTCTCAATAATAAAAACGGATAAACTGGATCTAAAACTTTATTGATATTACAACATACAGTTTAATATATTTATTTTTCATTGTATGAACCATTCTTGTCTAGATATACCTTCTTTCACGTGCCAAATGCTTTAGTGCTACGGCTGGGGAACTTTCACTTTTGTAAATGAGGAATAAATATTTTTGCTGAGGAAGAAATATTTTTGCTGGCTTGCTATTATTATTTACAGTATTTTTTTTTCGAATCAAATTTGAATTGTACCGTATCTCTGTTAAACAAACAAAAAAAAAAGTCTTTTAGTGTTTATTTATTTCCCGTATTATTTTTCAGTATTATTTTTCAGTATTATTTTCTGTTTTATTTTTGTATTATTTATCTTGCATAAAAAAGATCGATGACATTATTTTTCCGTTCTATTTATGAAAAAATACGATTTAAAAAATATCGATTTTTTTTTTTTAAAAAAAAAAATTAATTTAATCGATTTTATAAGTAAGGCGTTTTTAATTTCGCCTTATTTGTTAATCGTCATAGAGATTCTCCTGAAAGGTATAATTTTAAGTTTACATTACTAACAAAAGGTCGTCCCACGGGCGCTTTGTGTTACGGTAAAGTGAGATCTACAGTAAGAAATAAAAAAAGCTTTTGCTTAATTTAGTCAACTCTTGACACAATTGATACAAACTTAATCATATCAATTAATAAATTTAATTTTTATATATAATCATCAAATAATTTAAATTTTTTTTTTTTTTAGATAGCTGTGAGAACATATTTCTGGCTATTTCTTTCCTTTTCTTTAGGTTAATCATTAGGTCAATTACTTGTATATTTGTTCATTAATTAGGTGATTTATTAGTTCATTTATTTATTAGGCCATTTTTTTAGGTAAATTTGTTGGGTAAAATTATTAAAAAAAAAAATGGAAGACCAAGAATTTCAGCCTTATGAAGAAGTTCAAGAAGTTGAAGAATTAATCCAGGAAGAGATCGATAATGCATTTAAAGATGTGACAACTCAAGTGCACACATTTAATAGTGATGATCCTCCAGAAGTTAAAGCAATGAAAACTATGGCAAATGGGGCCACCACCACCACCAATCCCATCGCTACAAAAGAAGTTATTTCAGATATTGATGAAAAAACTGAAAAAGATATTTTATCATCACCAATTTCAGGAATTCCTGGAACTATTCCAACTATTTCACCTGAAGAAATTCCTAATATTCCTGAATGGGTACATATAGGTTGGAAACAAGTTGCGAACATCAATGTCAATGATTCTAATAATATTTCCGAAAAAGATTATTATAATCAAATATTAGGAGAATTATACTTTGGCAAACTTTGGTTAAATGCTGGAGTTGTTTTTGTTTCCATATTTGCTACTTGGTTAGTTACTATTCTTGGTGGTGGATTAGGATGGGTCATAATAATTTGTGCTTTTGTCGGTAAAAATTATTTCCATATTTTATTATTATTTTTTTTTTTCAATAACGAATTCTCCATTAATATTAAACATTATTCTATTATTCTGTTATTATTCTGGTATTTTAGCATCATATTTCAAGATTTCAGTAAATAGATTTTATCTTAATGCACGTAGTGACATATCACGTGAACTTGCAATTGAAAAATTAGAAACCGACACTGGAGAAGAATCTGTAGAATGGATGAATGAATTTTTACGTCGTTTTTGGTTAATTTATGAACCTATATTATCAGCTTCAATCGTTCAAACTGCTGATGGTATATTAGTTGCTTCAACTCCCGGTTTTTTGGATTCTATACGTTTAACAACTTTTACATTGGGTACTAAACCTGTAGTTATTGAATCCATTAGATCATATCCTAAATCTGAAGATGACATCGTGGTAAGTAAATTAAGTAAATTTTACCTTTCTTTCTTTCTTTCTTTCTCACATAATAAATATATAATACATTAAATATATATATATATGATAAACTAAATATATAATAAACATATTATATATACACATATATATATATCATAATCATAAAAGGTCATGGATTGGAAATTATCATTTAATCCCAACGATCTTGCAAATATGACAAAAGTTCAAATGGCCAGAAAAGTGAATCCAAAAATAGTACTTACAATACGAGTAGGAAGAGGAATGATGGGAGCTGGTATACCAATATTATTGGAAGATATGTCATTTTCAGGATTAATGAGAATAAAATTAAAGTTGATAAATACTTTCCCACATATTAAAACTGTTGACATAAGTTTTTTGGAAGATCCCAAATTTGATTATGCTTTGAAACCTATTGGTGGTGAAACCTTTGGATTCGATATTGCTAATGTATGTATTCTTATGTATTCTTTTTGTATTCTTATTTTATTTATTTTATTCCTTTGTATTCTTATTTTATTCTTTTGTATTCTTATTTTATTCTTTTGTGTTCTTATTTTATTCTTTTGTATTTTTATTTTATTCTTTTGTATTCTTATTTTATTCTTCATACATTATTAAACGTGGTAAATATGGTTAATTAAAATTAAAATAATTGTTATAGATTCCCGGATTACACTCCTTCATAAGAGACCAAGTTCATGCTAATTTGAGACCAATGATGTATAGTCCAAATGAATATGTGCTAGATGTTGAAGCTTTAATGGGGGGTTATCCAATCGGTGAGTAATTTATTACCCTTTTTTTTTATTGCTTTTTTTTTTCTTCTTTTATTGTTTTCTTTTATTGTTTTCTTTGATTCAACTACATAATACTATATATTATATAATATTAACATCACATTACGTATCATTTCATTTCATGTTAACTTTAGAAATCGCTAAAGGAATACTCAAAATAAAAATCTATGGAGCTAAAGAATTAAGAAATACCGAAAGGTTTGGTACCTCGGATCCTTTTTGTAAATTGACTATACTGGGAACTAAAGAATTGGCTAGAACAAAAGTCGCTTATGATACATTGACACCAATATGGAATGAGACTTTTTATCTACTATTAAATTCATTAACCGATAATTTGAATATTGAAATTTATGATTTTAATGAACTCACGAAAGAAAAATTGATGGGAATGGCAACATTTTCTTTACCTACTTTGGAAGAAAATCCCGCACAAAATGAGATGTAATTAATTAATTAATTAATAATAATAATATTTTATTTTTATTTTTTATTTTTATTAGTATTTTATTATTATTATTATTCTTCTTATTGCTATTGTTATTGTTTTATTATATTCGTAGACAAGCCCCATTATTATTTGATAGTAAAGCGTGTGGACAAATCACATTTGATGCAATTTGGTGTCCAGTTGTTGAACCTACAGAAACAGAACCAAATCCCGAGTCAAATATTGGAATCTTAAGATTCGCAATTCATCAAGCAAGAGATCTTGATCCCAGACTTTCAATAGTTGGTCAATATAATCCATATGCTCAAATATATTTGAATGAAAAACCTGAACCTGTTTATACTACAAAAGTAATAAAAAGAAATAATAGTCCTATTTGGGAGGTATGAATTATTTATATATATTTTTATATATATTTTATATTTTATAACTTATAATAATAATAATCCTTTTCTTTTAAATAATTTAAATAACTTGATTTAAATGATATAGGAAGCAGTCGAGTTATTTGTTACGCACAAACAAAATGCATTTATCTCAATTAAAATTTTCGATTCTCGTGATCTTGCGGCAGATCCAGTTGTCGGCAGTTGGTCAGGAAAATTGAGCGAATTTATGTCAGAATTAGCATCAAGAAATGATTGGTTTACTCTTAAAAATGCGTCTAGTGGTAAATTAAGATTAAGCTGTATATGGAAACCTATTTTAAATATTGAAAATTTCGATTGTAGTTATGGTAAATTATTTTTAATTTTAATTTTTAATTTATTATTATTATTATTATTATTATTTATGTAATCTAACTTGCGATATATAAATTCTATTTTATTTTTTTTTTTCAGTTGATCCAATTGGTATCGTTAAACTTCATATAAAGAGAGGTGAAATAAAAAATAATCAAATTGCGAGAAAAGCTGATTGTTACGTAATAGTTAGAGTTGATGGAGATTATCGAGGTAGAACAGATGTAATTCAAGATTCTAATAATCCGGAATGGCAAGATGAAATATTATATATTCCTGTACATTCGGAAAGGGAATTAATTGAATTAATTGTATGGGACTATGAGGTTACTTCCAAAAATAAAAAAGTTGGTATAAGTGAAATTTCTTTAAATAAATTAATTACTAAAAATGAGGATGGTACTATTACTTCTAAAGGAATAATTGAGGAGTGAGTATTCAATAATATTTATAATATTATATATATATATATATATTTATTTATTTATTTACGTTGTATTTTATAATATTTTTCACGTCTTTGTATTTTAGAACTTCGCCATTATCATTGGAGAATTCACAAAGAGGTTCTTTAACCTATGCAGCTAGTTTTCATCCAACTTTAATTTCAGAGAAAGCTACTAAAGAGGATGAAAACACCACCATTAATGAATCAGAATATCGTAAGTAAATTATAATAATAATAATAACAATAATAATAATAATAATAATAATGTTTTATTTATTAATGTATTTAATACGTTTATAGAATCTGGAGTGTTAGTTGTCCATCTTAAGGAAGCCAAAATGGAAAAGAGAGAGACTTCTGTTGAAATTATTGTAGATAATGGATTATTCCCTTCAGCTATTTCAGAAAAGTGCAAAACGCAAAATCCAAAATGGGATAAAAGTAATTTAATTTTATAATATTTATTATTATTAGTTCGTTCATAAACTAATACTAATTATATTGTTTATTTAGTAATGGAAATCTTTGTCAAGGAATTGGATTGGTCGAAAATTACTTTTAATATAAAACAATTCAATGATAAAAATCCTATCGGTGTTGTGACAGAGAAAGTATTAAATCTAATTGAATTATGTAAAGAATCTAATAAAGAAGGTGGTAATAATAAGGGAATAACATTACCAATCAGTGGAATAAATAATGCTACAATTAATTTGAGTGTACGATTTTTACCAATGAACTATAAATTGGATTCTTCTGAGACTATTGAAAGTATGGTTTTTATTTTTAATAATTTAATTAATTTTAATTAATTTAATTTTAACAATTTAATAATAATTTTTTAATAATTTTTTAATAATTTTTTAATAATTTTTAATAATTTTAATTAATTTTAGATATGGGAATATTACATGTAAAAGTTCAAAACGCAGAAAATTTAATCGGTGTTGATCGTTCTGGTAAATATATATATTGTCAATATCGAGAAATATCTTAAATATATTATTTATATCTTTATTTTTATTTTTGATAGGTACTAGTGATCCATTTTTCCAATTTCTAAAGAATGATGAAAAAATATTCAAGACAAAAGTTATTAAGAAAAATTTGAATCCTGTTTATGATGAATTATTCGAGACCAATGTGGTTTGTATTATATAATAATAAATATTGTTATTATTGTTAATTATGGTTAATTAATTAATTAATTAATTATTTATTTATTTATTTATTTATTTATTTATTTATTATTATTATTATATTATTATTATTATTTATTATATTATTATTATTATAATTATTATTATTATAACTAATTATAATTTCAAATATAATTATTTTTTATTTAATTTAGTTTTCACGTATTAGAGATTCATTTGTTATAGAAGCATATGATTGGAATCAATTAGGTTCTGCTAAAAAAATTGGTCAAGGTGTATTTAATCTCGCGGATATTCCTATTATTGAAGCTATAGATAGAAAAATTCCATTAATTAATAATGACAATAATAACAATAGTAGTGCTGTATCAAGTTCGGCTGGTTCAATTAATTTACGTTTACGTTTTGAACCAAAAATGATTTCCAAGAAACGAATTTCTTCTGGAACATTTATGACTGCCACTAAAACTCTTACAGGTGTAATTTCTGGTGGTGGTGATGCAGTGGTAAAAGGTGGCACTTTCGCTGTAGGAAATGGAGCTAATATTATAGGATCAGGTGTAAATTTTGTGGGTTCGGGAGCTGGAAATGTTGTTTCGGAGGTTGGAGGAATTTTTAAAATGAATGATAATACTACTCGAAGTATTAAATTACAAGAAGTAATGGATTCACCAACAGAAGTATCATCACCTGCTGCTTTTACAAATACTTCTAAATCAGCCAGTACTGAAACAAGTTCCCATTTCATTGAAAATATTGGTATTTATATTATTCATATTATTTATATTATTATTCATATTATTTATATTATTATTCATATAATTTAGATTATTAATTTATATTATTTTCATATTTTATTCACAATTCTAATATTAAAGCGAACGAAAAAATAGATCACTTATCAAAATCAGCACCAACAGGAAATTTAATCTTAACACTTATTGAAGCTAAAGAATTAGTTGCTGCTGATTCGGGTGGTAATTAGATTATTATTCTTGTTCTTCTTATTAAAGTAGTCTGCCAAATTTAATGAATTTTAAATATTTAAATTTTATTATTAAATTGATAGGTACGAGTGATCCATTTGTTAAAGCGAAAATAAATAAAAAGGAAATATATAAAACACAAATCAAAAAGAAAACTTTAACTCCTACATGGTAAGAATAATTTTTACTAATTTATGTTGTTCATTATATTAATTTACAATAATTTACAATAATTTTTAATAATTTATAATAATTTATATTAATTTACAATTATTTTATACTAATTTATATTAGGAATGAATCTGTAACTATTGGTGATTTAACTCTCGACGCAACATCATCAATACTTTTACAAGTAAGAGATTATAATTTGATGGGTAAAGATGATGATATTGGTGAATATGAATTAAAATTATGGGATTATATTAAAATTTCCAACAACAACAAAGTAGGTGATAAAATAGTCGAAGATATTTGGGTAAATTTGCAAAAAGTTCCAAATGGTAAATTACATGTTAAGTTAGAGTTTACTCTTAAAAAATGATAAATTTATTGATTTTTGTTATTTTTTTTTTTTGTAATTCGTTTTAAACATATATATAAATATAAATATAAATATAAATTATAAATATAAAAATAAATATATTATTAACATTTTTTTGAAAATACTTTTATTTATTTAAATAATATTTTACCGAAAAATCAAATATTCTTTTAATTTTTGAAATAAAATAAAAACGAAATAAAATAATAATCTAATGATTATAATGATTACCAATTTAATTGTTCTACTGTATGTTCCAATTCTTCACGATTTGGTGATTTATCATTCTTATTATTATTATCATTTTCATTATTCTTTTCATTATTATTTTCATTTTTCTTTTCCTTATCAGTCTTCTCATTATTATTATTTTCACTCAAATTCTTTTTTTCACTGATATTCTTTTCATTATCATTAGTATTCGTTTGATTATCATTTTCAGCCTTCTTTTGAATATTATTTTCTGGCTTCTCATTATTATTATTATTATTATTATCACTATTATTATCATCATCATTATTATTATTATTTACAGCTTTCTTTTGATTATCACTCGTTAAATTATTATTTTCACTTTTTAAATTATTATTATTATCGCTCTTTAAATTATCATTATTATTAAGAAGATTAACAGATTTATGAGGAATAAATTTATGAGGATTCACTTTCACTGGTTTTTGTTCAGAAGGGGAAGCTGATGTTGCTAATGTTGTTGATGTTGCTGATGTTGTAGATGTTGTTTGTAATGTTGTTGGTGTTGTTGATATTTTCATTGACTTCATTGGTAATAATGATGATAAAGATGATGATTTTGTTAATTTATCAATAGTTTTTTCTTCTTCTTTAGGTGAATTGGCGATTGACTTTAGAATATCAAGGTCAAATTTATACTCCATTTTTTTCTTCTTCATGTCTACATCTTCTATCTTCTCTTCTTTTATTTTCAATTCTTCTTGCTTTTCTTTCTTCATTTCCATTTTTTCTTTATTCAAATAATCAACTCTATCACCAACTCCACTATCACCAATAGTAGTGGATGCATTATTTCTATCTAAAGAATATTTATTATTATTATTATTATTATCACCAATTGTTTTTTCATTATTATCCTTTTTTTTTTGTTCCAGTTTTTCATCCTTAGGAATTACATCAGAGAATAAATTTACAACTTGAGATGCATCTAATCTTCTTTTTGGTAATACTTGAGTATTATAAAATCCTAAAAATCTGGGTCTAACTCTTGCGGTAGGTAATGGCTTGTGAGAAGCTGAATAAAAAAAAAAATCATAAATAAAAATATAAATAAAAATATAAATAAAAATATAAATAAAAATATAAATAAAATATAAATAAATTATAAATAAATAAATAAATATATATATAAAATAATTATATAATTATACCTTCGTTAATAGATTCTTCAAATTTAAATTCAAATGGTGCTAATTCCGGTACAGACAAAGTTACTTTTTCAAGTAAATTTTTGGATAATTCAGTATCTTTAAAACTGATCCAACCAAATCTTAGAATTCTACAATTTTCGGGATCCTTAATAATTATTATAATTATAATTATAATTATTATTTTTAATTATAATTATTATTAATTATAATTATTATTTTTTTAATTATAATTATTATTAATTATAATTATAATTTTTTAATTATTATAATTATAATTATAATAATTATAATAATTATTTTTAGTAATATATAATTATTAATAACTATAATAATAATAATAATAATAATAATAATAATAATAATAATTATATTGTATAGTTATTTGACAGAATGTATATTTAAATAATTATAATATTACCCTTCCAAATTTAAATTCAGTTAAAGGTCCCAATTTCTTGAAATATGAATAAACATTATTAGCTTCTGTAAAATTTGCAACAGATCTTGGACTAGTAGTAAAATAAATACGAGAATGTCTTGCTAATTTTGTTGCCATTATTGTTATTTTTTGTTGTTTATTATTAGATATTTTTTTTTAGCGTTTAATCTAATCTATAATGGATAAAATTATCAAATATTAAATAATATACTGTACGTTTTATCATACACCTTAATAATGTTTAACGAATGATGATTGGTTTTTACTTGAATTTATCAGTAAATATTGTGTTCGAGTAAATTTAAAAACTTTGAATTGTTGTATATAATTAGAAATTTTTTCTTTCTTCTATTCTCTCATTTGACATTTTATATATTTTACACATTTTACATTTTAACACATTTTTACATATTTTACATATCTTTCATATATTACATATATTCAATATTTTCGATACTTTCGATATTTTTCAAATATTTTCATGACGCAAATTTCATTATCGCCGATGGATTCTTATTCTTATTCTCCCATTAACACCGATAATTGTCTTACCTTTGAAAAAGTTAGACTATGGAGTTTTGAACAAGTTACAAATTGGTTGCAAGAAAATAATTTTAAAGAATATCAAAAACTTTTTACTGGTAAAAATCAAAATAAAAAAAAAAAATAAAAATAATAATAATAATAATAATAATAAAAAATAATAAAAATAATCATTAATAATCATTAATAATGAATATAGATATCTAATAATATATCTATTTATCTAATTAAAGAAAATGATATCACGGGTGACGTACTATTGGAATTAAACCATCAAGTTCTTAAAGAAATGAATATCAGATTTATAGGAGATCGAATTCGAATTTTAGTGGCAGTCAAAAATTTATTAAAAACCTGTTCAATAAATAATCCTTCATCTTATTCTTCATATTCCACATATTATTATAATATTAATATTAATAATATTAATAATATTATAAGTAATAATGTGGGTAATAATAATAATACTATTATTAAACCAAAGGTTTGTGAATTAAGCATAAAATTACTGATTAATTATATTAACTATATTTAATCAACTATATTAATTTATATTAGGATCAAAATTCTCCTGTAAAAGAAAGATTTTTTTCTTTATCCAGGTCAAGTTCAAAATCAAAATCAAATACAAATTCAATTTCAAATACAAATTCAAATTCAAATTCTCGTAGCCCAAATTCTGTTAATGGAAGTAATAACAACAACAACAACAATAACAATAACAACCACAACAACAATAATAATGAATATTCTTCAAAGGCATCAAAAGTGGGATCAATATCACCATCACAAACATCTATTGAATCTTCAATTATGTCAATTGAAAGTGTTAAATCGGTTTGTACTTTATTATTATTATTATTATTATTATTATTATTATTTTTATTATAATAAATGATTTATATTAATATTATTGTTTTTAAATAATTATTTTTGTAAATAGCGCTGTATTAAAGTTATTGGACAAGATCAAACATGTACAATTCCTATAAATGATATTAGCGATGCTAAATCTATTTTAACTAGAGTGTTACAAAAATTTAATATCAATGAAGATGTTGAAAGATATTCTTTATTTACTACTAGTGAAACTGGATCAGGTGATTATTATATTATTTATAAATTAATATTTTATATATTATATATATATTATTATTTATACACATTATAAATAATTAATTAATTATTATATTTAATTATTAATAAATTTAATTATTTAGCACGATGTATAACCGATGAAGAATTAGTTCAAATTTGTAAGAGTTCAGATAGACCTGAAAGAGAAAGATTAATTTTAAGGAAGAAACATATTCAAATGAGTCATGAAGAAATACAAAAACAATTGAGATATAAAAAATTAGCAAATTTCTTTGGTGAAAAACCTCCCACTACTCCTCAAGCTCCTCAAGTGGGAATATCTCATAAGAAATTACGTAACTTCTTTGGACAACGACCTCCTTCCGAATTAATTTCTCTAAATTTAACTGAATTCTTTCCTGGTCATGATAGTGAAGAATTAGAACGTAGTGCAAGAAATTCTATTAGAAGAGCTTCTCGACTTTCCGCTGCTTCGAGATATTCTAAAACAAAAAGTAGACGTATTTCTACTTCGTATGATGAAGATGATGGCAATATCAATAATAATCATAATAATAATCATAATAATAATAATAATAACAATAATAACAATAGATCAAATAGTTTATTATCAGCTAATATCAATGATTATTATCCGGAATCAACTATTGCTGAAGAAGAAGAAGAAGAAGAAGAAGAAGTCATTGAATATGAAGATGAATATGAAGAAGAGTATGAAGAAGATGAAGATTGGACTCCTGATCAAGATGATGGTAATCATATACTGTTCATTAAATATATTATTTATTATATATGTTTATTATATGTTTATTATATATATTTATTATATATTGATTTATTTATCTATTCTATAATGTATTTAGAATCAGGAAATTCAGTCTTAAAATGGATAAAAGGTTCTTTAATTGGAATGGGTTCATTTGGTAGTGTATATCTTGGGCTTAACGCTATAACTGGTGCATTGATGGCTGTTAAACAAGTGGAATTACCTACTGGTCAATCTTCCAATGAAGAACGTAAAAAATCAATGGTTTGAATTCATTTTATTTCGTTTTTTGTTTTTACTAGAATTATTTATTTTTCCTTTTTTTTTTTTTCGTTTCTTTTCTCTGTTTTTTTTTCTTACTGAAATTATCTCTCTTTAAAAATTCTATAATAGTTGGATGCTTTACAACGAGAAATCACTTTGTTGAAAGAATTACATCATGATCATATCGTCCAATATCTAGGTAATAAAAATTATTTCACTTTTTTTCTCTCTCATAATATTTCTTTTCTTCCCAACTATTTATTTAATAATAACAAATAATAATGATAATAATTAATAATAATAATTAATAGGATCACAACATGATGAGAAAACTTTAAATATTTTCCTAGAATATGTTCCTGGTGGATCAGTTAGTACAATGATAAATAATTACGGTCCATTAGAAGAAACTTTGGTTCGATCTTTTGTACGTCAAATTCTTTCTGGATTAAGTTATCTTCATGATAAAGAAATCATTCATCGTGATATTAAAGGAGCTAATATTTTGGGTGAATATTATATTTATATTATATATATTTGTATATTTTTTTTGACAGATTTCTTAATTCATTTTTTTTTAAAAAAAAATAAAAAAATTCAGTTGATGAAAAGGGAGGAATAAAGATTTCCGATTTTGGTATTTCAAAAAAAGTCGAAGATCGTAAGTTCAAACCATTTTATAATATTTTATATGACTTTATATTTATTGAATCTATAGAGTCATAGAATCATAGAACCAAAGAAAATCATAGAAACTAATGAATATTTTATAAAAATATATATCTATTTTTATATATAGAATTCATGGCAGCTACATCATCTCATAGACCTTCATTACAAGGTTCAGTATTTTGGATGGCACCTGAAGTTGTAAAACAAACAGCTTATACTAGTAAAGCTGATATATGGAGTTTAGGATGTTTGATTGTAGAAATGTTTACAGGTGATCATCCTTTCCCTGAATTTAATCAAATGCAAGCAATGTTTAAAGTAAGTATTTTACATTATTATTTATTGTTATATTTTTTATATATAATCATTATTTTTCTTATTTTTTTATTATTATTATAATTATTTATATTTATTATTATTATATTTATTATATTAGATTGGTTCTCAATCTTGTTCACCTGAACTTCCTGATGGAATATCTAATGAAGCAAGAGAATTCTTGAAGAAAACTTTTGAATTGTAAGTAATCTAACTAAATAGACATATATTATATTTATATATTTGCTATATTTGTAATGTTTTAATATTTTAACATTTAATTTTTTTTTATAATATAACTAGAAATCATGATGATAGACCTGCAGCTAAAGTACTTTTGGCTCATCCATTTGCTTTATCAACTTCAGTTAAATCTGGCACAACTTCATCTCCATAATATATTCTATATATGTATTTATATTTTATTTTGTTTGCATTTAGATTTTATTATTCTTATTATTAAGAATATTGTTAGAAAGGTTTTTTTTTAAAATTATCATTTATCATTTATTATTATAATAATATTATTCTATTTTCTTCATTTTTATAAAAAAATTTGTAATATACATACAAAATGCACATTTACACTATAAAGACTTTTAAACTTATATAAATAGATTTTAGATCTAACTTGTTATGAAGATTTGAAATATATATACACATGAGAAATATTAGGAATATTAATAAATTTGAGAAATTTACTGGTATAAATTGCTTGTGGGTGTGTTTTTTGTAATTAAGTGGAGTTATAGTTATTATATTTTGTTTGTTACACCAGTAATTATTTCATAAGTCTTACTTAAGAGCTATTATATGGTATGATAATACATTAAATATGGTTTTCTATATTTTCCCAATTAACTTAAGCTAAAGTCTAAAATGTATAAACCTCTAAAAAGTAATTTTAATAATACTTTGGTTATCTAAATTATGTTATTTGAAGATATTCATCCTGATCATTTGATTTTAAACTTAAATAATTTCTAAGGCTTCGATCTTTTAGATTCCATAAAATTGGTTGTTTTATTTTAAGTGAATTACCATCTAGATAATGTATTTAAAAAAAAATTATAATTGACACATTATATATATTAATTTAAAAATATTTTACCTCCAATTTAAAATTTCTATCAAATAAATAGTAACAAAACCCACCTTTTTAAAGGTATCCATTCTTTATCTATTGAATCATTTTGAAAAGCATGATTATTTCTTCATTGCATTCTATAAAATTGCGATCAGATATGTTTACATCTTTAAATAATATTATTATCATCAATAAATACTTTAACATTCAATTCTAAAGATATTTTGGAATGGATGAAATAAATTAGATCACATGACTCAATACAACTTCATATATTATTTTGACAACATAATTGATAATTTAAAAATGAGGCGTCAAAAAATTGATTTTTTTATTTACTGTAAATAAATATCTCAAGTAAATAACATATATATATGCGTTGACTATAATCAAAGAAAAATAAAGAATGAAATTTAAGCAATAATTTTAAAATCTATGTTCCAATATATACAGATTTTTTTTTAGTTTTTTAGTTTTTATATATATATATATATATAAAATATCAGATATGATGTTAATATCCACCAGTAGCTTTCTTGAAAATACCCAAAGGAATTCCGTGTTTTATTCTATGCTTTTTTTCAGTTCGTGCTTTATCTTTAAGCTGTGTAGGATCTCTATTACATAAAGGTCCACCTTCACGTCCAAATTCTTCATGAATCGCGGTCCAACTTGTTCCGTACGTTTTCATTCCTTCTTCTAATGCCTCTAATTCAACTACTGTCCACTTGATACGAGTCCTTTTAAGAGCATGACCTGAGGTTTCAAAAGATGCTTTAGTTGATGAAGAAGAGGCTTTAGTTGCTGAAGAAGAGGATCTAGTAATTGGAGACTTAGTTGTCAAAGTTTCTTTAACATGCGACTTAGTTGTTGAAGTAGTTGAAGTTGAAGGTACCGAAGATGACCTAGTTGTTCTGATTCTCGATGATTTAATTTCATTATCCTTCGCTGGTGAGATTTTATTCATAGTCACTTGTGAAATCGGTGCTGTTTCTATTACCACGGATACATCAGATCGTTCATGAAGATCAGTAGGAGCGACTAAGTTTTCTTGAGGAAGAGGATTGAGTGCAATCAAATTTTTAGCTTTATTTATAGTATTTTGATTGATATCATTTCCCAAAATAAATGATTGAAATGTTTCGGAATGAATATTAAGTCCATTTTTATTATTATCAAATTGAGTTTGTTGTTGAGATTTGTCAGAATTTAAATCTTTGAAATTTGATGATGACGATGATGGTATATTATCGATGTTATCTGACAAAGTTGATCGAAATAACTTCCTTTTACTCGGAATAAAATCTTCGTTATTATTATTGTTGTAGTAATAATTATTCGGCTTCCTACTTAAATTACAAGAAGGTGAATCAAGAAGCGTTGGAATATTTATATTTTTAAATTTATTTTTAAGAATATAATCCGATCTTGGAACATAATTTGATAATGGAGGAGTTGGAGGAGGAGTTGGAGATGATCTTGGAAATGACGTGAAATCATATGTTTTTGGTGTTGATGGTAGTGGTGATTCGGAAATCATTTCAATTTTAACCTTATCTTTAGTACTTTCAGTAGTATTCTCAATATCTATAATCTTATTATTATTATTATTATTATTATTCGTCTGTTCGGTTATATTAACATTAATAATATCAGCAGCATTTTTTTTATCTTGATGATCCTCAGAACCTGATAATGAAGAAGAAGAATATGCTCTGCCTAGATCTATGCTCTCGTACGTAGAATTTGTAGAATCTGTCGAATCTGTTTGTAATAAATCTGTCGTTTGCGATAAATTAATATTTAATTTTTCAATACAATCTTTAAGTTGTACTTCACTAAAACACTCGTATTTATAATAAAATTTTCTAAGATCAACGTCCTTTTGAGTAAATCCTGGTGGTAATTTCAATGGTATCTTGTCAATTTTAGAAAATAGGATATCAGAATCAGAAAAGGCTTGATCGTCATTATCATCTTCGTCGTGATTATCGTGATCATCATTTTCTTCTTCATCAGTTATCGATGAAGTTTCTTGCACAATAAAAATATTATTATTATCGGAAATGATACTATGATTATCTTTTAGTGGTCCTTGAGATAAACTTTGTGATTGTATGTCATCTTTTAAGTCTTTTGGTAGTGATGATAGTAATTGATTATTATTATTTTCATCTTGTAGTTCAAATAGTTCGAGAAATTCAGACATCTTAATGAAAGGATTAAATCAGAAAAGTTTGTTTATTTGATTTGTTTATCATGACATAAATAATCAAATTCAAATACAAAAGTCACGTGTAATTGTTAATTGTTAATTTCATACGTTTGTACAACTTATTTTAAAAAAAAATAGTTACAGTACACCTAATAAAAAAAATTCCCTACGTTAAAATATATGTATATATGTATATATAACGAATCAAAAAAACAATAAATTGATTAAGAAGATAATTTATATATAATATAAATGTGAACAAAAAAAATAACCGATGATGATAAAGTAATATATAATCTACTTTATCAAAGCTATTCACTCATAACAATATTTATCGTTACGCTTAATTTAACGCAAAGAAGTAAGATAAGTTATCTTGATACATCATTACAGTTAAAGGAATATGATAAATCTTGTGCAATTAAGGGATCGGGCATAAGAATGACGCTGCGCAAGAAGCCATACAGACTCCCTGAACTACATTGCACGCGACGGCACCTGCGGGAAGTGTTGCTCCAGCAGTTGCACCTAAAAATAAAGAAATATATATGATTGTAAATATATTTTTCTTTAAAAAAAAATATAAATTTATTAAATTATAATAATAATAGTGATTAATTCTTGCCTGCAGTCAGGCCGAGAGCTGCATAACACGAGCACCACCCCACGTTGCAAGCCGTTTGGCATAAAGCATATGCTATCGGACCAGCGGAAACATTATTGAATGAGATAACGAATAATGATAAAACAAAGGTAACAAAAACGGAAGTTGAGAATTTTGACATTTTGTAAGAAAACAAAGCGAGTTTTTTTTTTTTGAAAATAGAATTATTCTTTTGAAATTCTTTTGGGATCTGAAAAAAAAAGTTCTATTTATTAGAAAAGCCACCATTATATTATCGGAGTTTAAAAAAACGTAATTGTTGCCTAAAAAAGGTTATTTAAGCCACTTTTACTAAATTCGTAAACAAAACAGAGATATTTTTGGAATCAATACAAACTTGATATGTAAATATTACGTTTATTTGTTTTGCTTTTATCATATTTAACGAAAGGGCATAAGTATTATGAATTCGTATTAGAAAGCAAATTTATGTCAGTAGGCGCTTATCACACGACAAATTTAAAGTATCAAATTGGAATGACATAATGGATAAAATTTATTTGAGATGCTAAAGTTCAGAAGAAAGTGATAGAATAAATATCATGCAAGTTAGAAATTATAGAATTCTTAACGAGAAAGCATTTGTTTTTTTTCCACTTGGCTTATTATCCAATTATTATATATATATACAGTGTATGAAAATCAAAATAACAAAAATGGATTGATGTATGTACAGAAAAAAATAACTGATAATAATAAAGTAATGTATACTAAAACTAGCATAAAGTATCATCGTTACGCTTAATTTAATATCTTGATACATAACAGTTGAATCTTGTGCAGAATGGAATTATTAAAAGCAAGGGATAAATAGTGATGCCGCACAGGAAGTCATACAGACTCCCTGAACCCTGTTACAAGTGATGGCACCTGCGGGAAGCGCTCCACCAGTTACAGCGCCTAAAATAAAGAAATGTAAATAGATTTTTCTTTAGAATATAAATATATTAAATTATAGTAATAATAGTCATTAATTCTTGCCTGCAGTCAGGCCGATAGCAGCATAACACGAGGTCCATCCGACATTGCAAACTGTTTGGCATAAAGCATAGACCATCGGTCCAGCAGAAACATTGTTGAATGAGATAAAGAATAATGATAAAACAAAGGTAACAAAAATGAAAGTTGAGAATTTTGCCATTTTGTATAAAATAAAACTTTGATTATTTTATTTATTTGGAATTCTTATTCTTTGAATGTGGGTATTTAAAAAAAAAAAATTTCCAATCTATTTAAATTTATTTTTTACAGACTAATTGAACTTCATTAGAATAGAAAATTAAAGGGCGTAAAGCCCAAATGATGTAATGATTTAAATTTTTTTTTTGCCAAAGGGTATTGGTTAAAGTCATTTTTGACAAATTTGTAAAACTCATTTTTTTTTTATCATATTAACGATCATAATTATACAACAATTTAAAGTCGTTAATAAAAAAGTATATATTTATCTGGTATACACGAAGGGAGGTTGCTTTGATTATCATAAAAAATTTAAATCACGTTTCATTCACGCTAGTTAAAGCAATTTTCCAAAAAAAGTTATTTTTACATTAGGAGATTAGTATACCCAATTCTTAATTTAATACCTCTCATTTAACGATCAAAATGATTTAGTAATTACAGCTAAAAGTCGTAATAAAAAATGCGGATTTGAATGTCATTGAATGCTTGGTTAAATTGCCACGCTTTATTATATAGTAAAGATTCTTTTTTAAATAAAGATATAAATGTTGTAAAGACAAATAATATCGGATGATATTTTAACTTCGAGTGCAATTATATTTCTAATAGAAAAAACTTTGCTTTACACATCAATAGTGAGAAACAAATGACACTTTGCAAGGAACCTTGCACTCAATAAATGAACAAGTGGAAATGACGCAGTAGATAAATTTATTCAATCCAATTTTATGGAATATGAAAGATCCAAATACTTACAAATATATAAAAAAAATAATTTTAACAATAATATTGGTTGCCATGATAAATTAGAAAATTAGATATAATTCATCGAGACTTTAATCTGGTCTGGAAATATGATTTTAAAATTAGAGGTTTGGAGATTTCGGGTTTGAATAGTTACGAAATATTGAAAATCATAATATAGCTCCGGAGGTATTAATTAAGTAGGAATGAAGAATATACAAAGCTTGCTAATGTTATCCCAAAATTAATTACAAGAAGATTATGCAATTTTGGAATGTTGAAATTGTAAAATCTGAAGAATTTTTAGCAAAATCAAACATCCTAACGGTTATACAGTAATTCAATTTATGCCAGTAGACTTTACAATTTTTCAAATCTTCCAAAACCTGTGAGTAAATCATAATCCGTAAATTTTTTTCTTTCGTAATTTTTTTTTGACAATTGACCAATCATTTTACATTGTACATAGAAAATAATCAATATCTTATTATATTGTTCAGTATAAATTGTAATATTTTAATTAAATTTATACAAAAATTTAAACAGCAATAATTCGGTCAGTATTGATCAGATCAAGATAAAACAACTACCATTCGAATGGCCTTAGTATGAGGAGTCTAATAAGCTATAGTTAATTCTTCTACAACTATTAGATAACTAGGACCCAGTAGGGGTTGCTTAACTATCATATAAAAAAAATTTATAAGTCATAATATTTATTTGCTTAAAATTACATATTTTTATAGAATATGATAATAGAGTTTGTATAGAACTATTATCTTTATTATTACAGTTATACAATTAGATGTATAGAAAATATTGTTTTTGTAAAGGTCCATAGTACAAAGTTGCTTAAAATTTATGAATTACACATGGGTATAATTAAAAATGGCACTGTTTCTAGTCAACTTTTCAGGCTAATTTTATGTTCCAAAAGGGAAGTTTACAACTAGCAACTTGTAAACAAGAATAAACTTAACTAAACTAAAAAAAACAAGAAATAATTTAATTATATTAACTAATAAAGAACTTAGAATTTATATGGATAATTATTAACCATACTAAAATTAGCTATTAAATTCAGCACAGGTCAAATACTAAAGAATTGTCATACTGAAAAGGAATTCTGATTTGATAATATAGGATGCAATAAGACAGTTAATTTTTACCAATTTCTAGCTAATCTATAATATAGGAATTACTATTTGGTACAGTGATTTCTTGTTTTTGACTATTGCAGGTGAGCAATTTAAAAATTAGAACAAAGAGTTGAAGGTATTAGCAAGAATTTATGAAGTAGTACATTAGGAAATTTTTGAATTTGCTCATGATTTATGTAACAGGGAACTAAGATATTTCTAAGATGGATTGAAAGCCTTGGTTCCTGACTACATGTTAATATGTGTTTAATTCTTATAGCATCAATATTAATCAAGATATTCACATTTAAATTTTTATATCTGCTGTTATCCATGTAAACCTTCTACAATTTACAAAGACAACAGGGTAAAATAATACTAAACTAATAAACAAAACTAAATAAAACTATAAGAATTACTAATCTCAAAATAAAATAATCACACTATAAGGACTTATGTGTAGAAGGAATTATGTACAATCAATTATAAAAGAGGTGTATTAACTATTAACAGTGGTATGAAGACTTGTTAATAGGGACAAACAGTTTATCAATTATCAAAAGAA